ATATTAGTTCTGGTGCTTTATCATGAAAGCTGAGTCATGTCTTTGTTCTCCTTTTTATCAATGCGCTTTGGTTAAAATTAAAGTGCTGAAAATAGAGTAATGTCCAAAATTAACATTCAAGCTAAATGAAGCTTGAAGCTAATGAGCAACCTGTCTACGTTATGTACCCAGAATGCATTGCAGTGCAAATAAAAAGGTGACACCCATGTTTCATCAACTTTCAAAAAATTCTAAAAACCAAACAGCCTGCAGTAACTTTATTGTCCTGTTTTTATCACTGAACTAATAGTTTATTAAATAAGGTGTATTGTTCCAACTAGTCGGAGATCCTTTTAACAACAAATATATCTTGACGGCTAACAAGACTGTTTTAATTTGATCAAAGTTATGTCCTGAACAGTACGTTCTTAGGAAATACACAACCTGTTTTTTTTTTTTGTTTGTTTTTGTTTTTTTGGCATACCGAATAATCCAAAACAAGGCAAAAATAAAAAAAATTATCTCATTTTTTGCCATTAAAGCTACAACTTTTTAGTGTTTTACTTTCTGATGTACAAACAGGTGTTTCCCATTTCCTGAACAATAATGTGTAATTGTGTGTGTTTACAAGTTATGACCATAAAAACATTTTATTGTGTTTACCTCTTGTATTAAAATCTTCCTCGCCATCAATTTATTTATTTATTTGCAAGATTTCCATTGTGCTTCTTGCTGCTGGAGACCAAAGCCTTGCTGAATCAAACATCTGTGTAAGTTGCTGATCCTGACCCAGTCTGAGCGATGCACTTCTCTGCGTGCTAATGTAATGACTGGAAGCTTTCCAGACTTAACGGAAGACAATCAGAGAGACCTGAGAAACGTTGCACTTAGATTATGAGCTGCTGCTGCAGCGCCAACAGAGCGGACCGGCTAAAGAACCGCGTGAGCCGAGATCACCGCACCTGGTTGTTCTTCCCTTTGTCGACACACTCCCTCTTCTTATCCTGGGGGGCCGGCCAGTCGATCTGTGGGGAAACACAAAGACAAATGTGACGTTCTGCAGGAGGACTGTCAGCATTAGTTGTGCATCGCCGTGTGTAGGAAAATACATTGCAGGGGCAAAAATACTTTGTAATGAGATCAACTCTGAGACAAACCACAACAAAGAGACAAAAACTAAGAAGAAGAAAATACATCACACACATCGAGTTGCTGCTTTGCTCAGCCAACACGCTGAACCATTGACCACTACTTGCCGTAACTATGGCAACAACAAGACTCAGTAATAGTAATGACACCGTCTCCTTCTTTTTATCTTCCAATTTTCTTTCTGTTCAATAAATAAAAAAATAAAAAACAGGTGGGGGGCAGTTGTAGCCATCTAGACTCATTCCCAGTTTGTGTTACTGTTCTGGCTCCTTTACGCCCACCGCTGGCAGTGGGTTGGACACAGTGAGGGTCTTAACGATGGGATATTACAGCGCCGCCGTCCTAAAGAATCAAAGATGAACCAGCAAAGCACACCAGAAGGTCCTTAGGAAACACGGATAAAGGAAAAAACAAATGTTTTTCCACGCACCGACACATGCTTGAACTTTGCTCTGCGGACAGAGGAAACCAGTGTGCTTCCTTACATGTTTCCACACCATTAAAAATAATTATAACGGCAATTACAGGCGATGGGCTGCTACAAAATCAGATTTTACTTCTACTGGATGTAAACCAGCTGCACTCAAGACAATGGACTGTTGCAGTATAATCAGATAGTCAATAAAATGCGCTCTAAAATAAAGACGGTCATTAAACGGCACAGCAACGATGGCTCCTAATGGTCCCGAAAAGAATATAAAACAAGAATGACTCACCAGTATCACTTCTGAGCACAGTTCCATACATTTGCACATACATACGATGGTTCACAACAAATCCACAGACTTTACTCCTGTTCCCAAAGTCTATGTTTCTCTCCTGATGGAGTTATAATGATCAGAGTAAATAAGTAAATGAGTCATTAGGGTCTCTGGCTGTGAAATCTCACCTGTAGGTTCTGCACCTTTAACTAGTGAGATGTGGATTTTATTTAATGGAGAGCTGGCAAAAATTAAGCATTCACTTTTCCTCCTAATTGTGTTTCCATGGTTATTTTAATTACTCACAAATAAATTCATTCATTTTCTCCTCACACATCAGGTGCTATACTGAATTTAATACCATGCAGTGTAGTCTCCATCATCCAGAGCTGTGAGCGTTGATACCTGCTGGCACCGACCAAAACAAATGTCACTTTTAGGCACAACTCTGTTAAAAAGTAACAACGTTTCGGCAACCTGGTTCACATTAATTTATGTTTGGACACACCTCAGGGTGTCTGCCATCCAAGTAAGCCAAGTTAAAATGTAATACAAACATATACAGTATTAGCGTTTTAAATGTCCTGCGCAGATCTTTTTATCTCCTACTGTGTCAGCACATGGAAATAAAAGCAATGTTGAAGCCCCATTAGCATTTGTCTAAAAATAAAATCTGTTTTACAATTTGATCAGCGTGCGAGCTGAATTTCACAGATTTAAAAATGCAAGAATACAGCGTTTACATCCGAGGTACTATAAATTACATAGGGCTGAACGATATGGTCAAAATTTTTATCACGATATATTTCTTAATCTCGGTCGATAACGATATAATTCCGATATCGATATAAACAATATAAAAGCCTGAGAAAAACTGTACAAACTGTACAAATAAATTAATGTTCAGCTTTTATTTGTATTTAGCCTTCAAAGAAATTTGAAATCACCATCAAATAAACATAAAACTCTCAACTTTGTCAATATTAATAGTTTTAACTTTAAAAAAGAACATAACCCTAATGTTTGCTGCATGGGTTTCTCTTTTGATACAGCTGGGGGTGTAGTTTCAGGAACACGTTGGTTCAAACTTTTATTATGTTTCATCTTCTGACTCTCAGCGTATTCTATCGAGTGGAACAAGTTAGATGTGTTACTTCCCACCGCTAGTTGGAACTAGGCCTGTCACGATAACATTTTCTGGGCAATTAACTGTCTCAGAAATTATTGCGATAAACGATAATATTGTTTGAAATTTGACATTAGTAATTTTTGTCAAATTTAAAAAGAAAAGTAGGTTAATTTCTGTGTAGTACCTTTTTTTACCACTGGATGGCAGTATAAGACTGTCTAAACCAAAGAATTCATGATAGTGAGAGAGCGAGCAGCAGTGTGTCTCTTTAAGAAAAATTAGTGTTACATATCCAAAATGTTTTGTTTTACAGAGCGTACAAGTATGTTATTCAAAGTGTTTAGCATCATTTTGCTGTTTATATGTAATGCCATAATAAATGTATGTTTATACTGTTTAAAAACGGCCTCTGTTTTACACAATATGGTGGGTTGCCAGTTGGGCTTGTTTTCATAGAGCTGGTTGCTTGTTTTGGGCATGGAGCTGGTTGCTTGTTTCTATCACGAGATCTGGCAACACTGTACTCATTCTTGTTTTTCAGTTTTCAAAATGGTGGACGCTTGGAATGAGCTTTTTAGCATACCATTTTCAAAGCTTTGAATAAAAATCAGTAAACAAGTTCTCAGCTTCTTTTTGCAGAAAAAAACCCCCAACTTTTTATACAAAGGCACGGGTTTCAACCGTGAATGTTGTAGAGGTCAGCCTGTTAGCTTAGCTCGTAGCTTAGCTTCTCAGTTTAGCTGCTTTTAACGAGCCAAAAACTAGGGATGCAGCGATCCACGTTTTCCCACTTCTGATCCGATTCCAGCGGTTTAGTCTCGGTATTATACCGATCCGATACAGAAAAACAGTGCTGAATTAACAAAAATGGCTAAATCATGTCATCTGGACCAGTTTCTGAAACAGGTCCAGATGACATGATTTAGCCATTTTTGTTGTCTACCTGGATGTTTGAACTTACAAACCCAGTGCTGAATTAACTTAAAACTAGGGGTGCACCGATAAATCGGCCGGCCGATCGATCGGCCCCGATTTCCTTAATTTGGGGAGATCGGCGATCGGCCGATCTTTAAATGAGAAGCCGATTTTATCCACCGATCTTATCTGCCTCCGGAAAGGTCTGAAAATCAGCTGCTGTCCCCTTTTGCTCCACTGTGAGAGCTCACACACAGGTCACTCGGAGCAGCCATGTCGTCGGTTTGGAAGTTCTACGCTGTAAAAGAAAATGAGCCAAAGATCGCAATTTGCAATTCGTGTAAAGCCGAAGTAAGTCGTGGTGGAGCCACCACCAAAACCTTTAATACAACAAACCTCGTTCGCCATTTAAGAAATCACCACGCCGCCAAGTATGCAATGTTTGAAGAGAGCAACCAAGCTAAGGCTAATGCTAAAGCTAGCGCTAACAAAGAGGCAGTCGGTGGGTCGCTGTTAGCTTTTATGAGCAACGAAAAGAGCAAAGCTACCACGAGGAAAGTGATGGAGTTCATGGCATTAGACAACCAGCCATTTTCAGTCGTTGAGGACAAAGGTTTTAGAAGCTTGATGCAGCACGTGTGCCCACGATATAATATGCCGAGTCGGAAATATTTTTCTGATGTTGCATTACCGGAGTTGTTCAGCCAAGTTTCGAGAGACACCCGCAGCCTGCTAAAAGCTAATACAAATACACTCAGCTTTACAACAGACATCTGGACTTCTGATGTAAGTTTAATGTCCATGTTAAGTTTTACTGCACAGTGGATTGACGAACAGTTCGAACGTCATCAATTACTCTTAAACTGTAAAGAAATGGCAGGGTCTCACACTGCGGCCAATTTATCAGCAGAGTTTAAGGCGATGCTGAATCACTGGGAAATCGATCATGGAAGAGTTCACGTTGTTTTACGGGATAATGCTCGTAATATGGCCAAAGCGCTGGATGATATCAACCTGAAAAGTTTACCCTGCCTGGCACACACACTGCAACTGGTTGTAAATGAGGGACAGCTGGCGCAGCGCAGCATCACAGACATGGTGGCAACAGGAAGGAGAATTGTTGGACATTTTAAGCATTCATCACTTGCCTATTCCCGACTTTATGACATACAGACACAGTTAGGTCAACCCAGGAAACGATTACAGCAAGACGTTTCAACGAGGTGGAACAGCACAGTCTACATGCTGCAGTCGCTGTTGGAGCAGAGACGTGCTATTGGCGTGTATGCTGCTGAGCACGAGTTACCAGCCACACTCACAGCACACCAGTGGGAGCTACTGGACAATGTGCTCACCATTCTTGCACCTTTTGAGGAACTCACAAAGGAGATTAGCTCATCAACAGCTACAGCAGCAGATGTCATCCCAGCCATCACTGCACTCAAGCGGATTTTGGAGAGGCAAGCGAGCACAGACCGTGGCGTGGGTACAGCCAAAGCTACGCTGCTGGAGGCTGTTGTGAGAAGATTCAGCAACATTGAGCATGAGCCCCTGTACAGCTTGGCCACTGTTCTGGATCCAAGGCAAGTAACTATTAACATTCTATTTTAGCCATAATGACTTTTAGCCTACTGCTATATTTCAACAAACATTTAAATTAAATTAAAAATAAAAATTTATTGATTGAAATGCATTTCTTTATTTACATGCAAGTCATAAAAACTGTTAATGTATACAAAACACAATGATTGACCCATCTTTCTTTGTTTATGCAAAACAAGGTACAAGAATCGCTACTTCTCAGCAGAGGTGAAAGATGACGTGAAACTGCTCCTTTTGACCAAACTTGCAGAGGGGGAGACCAGATGCACACCTGCTGCAGGAACATCCTCTGAAGTGGGACCTCCTGCTATAGATGAACCTGCAGCCAAAAGGCGTAGTCTACTGTTTGCAGCTCACGACGAAATCTTAAAGGAGAACATTGAACAGGAGCAACAGCTGGCCAGCCCTTCAGCTATGCAGGTACAGAACTACCTATCTGAGGTTCCTGTTGAAAGGAGCCAGGACCCATTGGTCTACTGGAAGATCAATGAAAATCGTTTCCCTCATCTTGCTCTACTTGCCCGAACCTATCTCTCTGCCCCATGCACAAGCGTTGAAAGCGAGCGCCTGTTTAGCTTGGCTGGACATGTAGTAGATGAGAAAAGAAGTCGCCTGTCTGGTGACAAAGCAGAAATGCTTTTGTTCATCAAGAAAAACCTGCCACTAATGAAAGTGACTGGAATAAGTCTGTGAGAACTAACTTACCAGTGTTAGTTCTTATTACCCACTGACTTGAAAATGTTACACTTGTTGCATTATCTTTTTTTTTTTTTAAATGTAACAAGTGAAAGAGTTGAAGGAACTGAACATTTTTTTTTAGTTAATTTTATAGTTTTAACAAAAATTGTGTAAACTTCATTTATATTTCAGAATACTACCTCATGACAAGTTAAAACAACAAGTTTGTATTGTTTCTAGGGTATTTTTCAAGGGTATGTTTTACAATAAAATAAGATTGGTAAATTGAAGGTGCATTGTGATCTTGTAACACCTGACACTGTTGCTTATAAAAAAAAATCGGTATCGGCCAAAATCGGAATCGGCAGTTCAGACTTTCAAAAAATCGGTGATCGGTGATCGGCCTGAAAATTGAAATCGGTGCACCCCTACTTAAAACATTTGTTTTGTTAAACGCAGACATGAATGTACTGAATTACAAATTTATTGAAAACTCTGCACCATAACAGCACACTTAAACACACCAAGAGCTTCACAAGCTTGGTCAAACATGTAAAAACAACACAACTTTAATTTGTTCAGTCATTACGCTAGCACGTGATGTCACTCAGAGCACAAAGCATAGAATTAGAGTGAACAGATCTGCCCAGTCTTGGATCGGTCACATTGTCACCGATACCCGATCCAGAAGTTTCCCGATACCAATACTGGTATTGGTGCCGGATCGGTGCAACTCTACCAAAAACGTGATTTTGAACGGTTAAAACAGATTTTAAAGAGAAAAAAGAAAGGGAGGGGTCAGTGAAGAGCGCCAGAGTTGATCCTTTTGTCATCCAGTGTCTTCAGTAGAAAGAGAGAGACACGAAGAAATGATAAAGCCGATAAATGAAAATGAGGTTGATAATTTTCATTCATCATGTGATTAATTGATTTGTTTATCACAACAGGCCTAGTTGGAACGACTCTCCGGTACATTTTGCAGCACACTTAGATAGCCAAACCACTTCCACACCACCAAATTAAATTAGTATTTCCTCTCTTATCAATTATGTCGTCTGCTTTCTGTTCGCTTGTGAAAGCTTGTTCAGTCACATTCTGACTCATTTTGAAGCAAAAACTTACGGCACGTTGCAGCTTACCCTAGCCTAGCCTGCTACTGCTGACTCCTTCAAGCTGTGGTGTACATCACCACGCACTTATATAGTTGTGTCTCGGCTTTTTCTGTTCGGGTTGAAACTGAAGCGGCCGCTTCAACCCAAACAGAAAAAGAAACGCATAAGAGAAATGCTGTAATCATAGTGTAATGTTTATTGAAATATCAAAAATGTGCTTAAAACTCATATCACCATTATTGAATAAAATTATATTGATATATATATATATATATCAATATCGAATTATTATTCAGGCCTAAAATTACATTTCAATTTGAACAGCTCAATTGAAGATGAGAGCACTGATACTGCTGCATGGGTGAAGGCTCCTTTAAAAAAAAAAAAAAAAAAGCTGAAGCATGGGGAACTGGTGCATTCAGGTGAAACTCGATCCACTGTCATCCACTGAGCAAAACAGCAAAACTAAACAGTGCAGAAGAAAGAGATGCAAACACAAAGCCGGAGCTGCTTGTCTACAAAAAGTGTAAATCCTAAAAAAAAAAAAAAAACATCCCTAGAGATTATCCAAGGAAGGAAGACGGTGATGAAAGTAATGAAGATAAACAGTGGGCGAGACAGCAGCAAAGGAATAAAAGAGAAGCTGTTAAAGGAAAGGAAGGAGGAGAAAGAGGGCGAGAATGATGGCCACGTGGAAACACAAGGGAAGAACTATTTCCTCGTTCACGCTCAGTCATTTTTCTGTCGGCTCCCTCCATCTATACCGCACGCTAGGGGCTGACAACAGGTGGCCTTATCATTAGTGTGAGACCCATAACCCTCACTCAAACAGCCAGTGGCTGGGTTGTGTGTCATAGCGTGCGTGGGTGTGTGTGCACATCTAATAACTTCTCATTACGACGGTAAATCAGATAGAAATCCCCAAACCGCTGCGGGCTGCTCACTACACCTTCATTGCATGGCTGTAACTGTATTGATTGCAACAAAGACCAATTATTGAGGGAGCAAAGCAAAACCAGACTGAATCTCTGGGGGCTTAGCGTGTCTGTATGTGTAGGAGTGTGTTGCTGCGGGTCAAGTCAAGGGTATTAATATGGATAAACAGGTTTCCCCCCAGAGTGCTTTACAGAAAAACAAGAAACACACTTTAAACAAAGACAAGGGAAAAAAACAATAAAAACTCACATCATGGGAGTTTAGGTGCGACAGAAGAAAAATATTGGTGCTAATAGCTGCACGCAAAAACTGACAAATTATGTGAAATGACTGAAAACACCCATTATTAAACGACCATAAAGTATTGTACTTTTAATTTGCTTTCAGAAATGTCATTAAAAGTTAAAAATGCCCTTTATTATTTGTAAGAATCAGCATAATAGAAAAGCAGATGGCTAACATGCTAAGCGTCAGCATTTTCACTTTGTTCTTGCTAATATTAGGCTTAATCTTTAATACTCAGCACTATTAAAGCTTAAGGGCTATGCTACTATGTTAATTAATGCTAATTCCACAGTGTTGGGGTGTAATCTGGTAGAAAACACCTGCAAGATTATTCTAGGTGCTAATTCCCTAGAGCTAAAATTAGACTTCGTGCCCTACAGGTAGCTATTGCAGCTGACAACACACTCAAATCGTTTTATGCTGATGAAAAAAAGGTTTAGCACATCTTTTTTCCCTCCTAAAAACAATGTTTTAAAGCTGAAGTTGAAGATAGAAAGCAATATTTCTGAACTAAAATGACTTCTGTAGCTGTTGTTATTATATATTGCTGCTGTTAGCTCATAGCTAATGACAATTGTGCTTTTGCAACCTTGTGCACTACGGTAATAGCTTTTAAAAGCTTGCTAAAAGAAAGCATAACAGGGAGATCCAGCTGGTACGGCGCAGTTAACATTTTTATTAGGCTAATTCATCGTCAGACGCATTATGTTTTGTTTGTGCGCTCTGAAATGCAAAAGAGACTATAGAGACATTAGCTTACTCTGTGAGTTAATAGGGAGCACGAAAAGTGAGACACTCGGAGGGATGTTTCATGTTTTCCGTTCTCCTTTTCAAAGATGAAATTCTGTGATGTCGATGCTTCCCATCATAACTGGTCCTAATGGATACTGGAACGAACGCTTATCTCTGCATGCAACAAAGCTGTGAGGAAGACGTGTTTTGTTCACGAACTGCTCGTCCAAAAGCCCAGTGATGATAAATGTTGTGTTATCATTTCATTTGCAGCAGCGCTACAAAGGCATGCCAGTGCCTGTCAGTCGATAATTATTATTATTTTTTTTGTGAAAACTTTTCCTGTACACAGCCAAGTTCCAAATGTTTTAACAATACGTCTTCCTGGTGTGGAAAAAAGGTTTGTAAGATCAATCATCCAGGTAGATAAAAACAAAAGAGGTTAAATCATGTCATCTGGACAAGTTTCTTTAAGGGAGAAATGTTTCATCTTTCATCCGAAAGTCTTCATCAGTCTGTGGCCTGCCAGCCAGACCTGTCCCATAAATGGCCCTCAGTGGTGTGTTTCAAACCAACCTCCTGGGGCTGAGATGGTGTAGAGGTACGGCAGCCGACTTGGGACCAGAAAATCACGGTTCGACTTCCCGCCATGCCCACATGCCCTGAGCAAGACACCCAATCCCTAATTGCTCAGCTGCCCACTGCTCCACCTGGGTGTATCAGGTGTGATGGGTTAAATGCAGAGAACAAATTTCGTCATTGTATGGAAACATACAATGATGACAACATATAGCACTTTACTTGCATGCAAAAAGGACCATGTGTCCAAAACACTCAATCATCACGCACAACAATCAAATGTTTTAGGCCAAGTGGACGACTTGCTACTCACAGAAACAACCTGAGGACAATTAGGCCAAAATGATTCAGAAAAAAAGGTCTGCAAAATCAATCATCCAGGTAGATAAAAACTAAAAAGCTTAAATCGTGTCATCTGGACAAGTTTCTTCAAGGGAAAAACATTTCATCTTTCATCTGAAAGACCTTGTTGCACGTGTTCAAACCCTGTTTCTGAGAACTCAACGGGAGGTTGTCTTGAAACACATCAGTGAGGGCTATTTATGGGACAGGTCTGGTCAGTTGATGACGTCTTTGACATGACATGATTGAACCTTTTTTTGTCTTCGTGGTGTGTTTATGCTTAATTTAGTTTATTACCTGTGGACGTAGCTGTCGGCTGATATCGTTGGGGTCCAGGGCAAACAAAGCCTCTCGCGCTCCAACGTACAAAACCCTCTCGTGGTCAGACAGGGTCAGCATGCTGTAGTTGAAAACTCCTTGGATGCTGAACCTTGCCATGCTGTCCAAGACATCTGGGTAAAGACACATAGATCGAACAGCTTGTCATGGATACGACTACATCTTTTTACTCATTTTATATAGAGAGGGAAAATCAACTGAGGGGAATGCTTTCCCAAAGAGTCCCTTCCTGTGATTTGTCCAAGGACTTCACCTGTTGCAGTTTTCACTCAACAGCAACTTGTTAAAAGTCAGGCAACATGTTGACAAGGTTTAAATTTGAAAGCTCTTCAAAAAAACACTGCTCTTGTTGCTCTTTATCACTGGAAACAGGACACACCAGGTTGCTGTAAATGCTTTGATAAACCAAAGTAGTTTAGTAGCTTGTGGGGGAATAAAACAATTGGCAACTAAGAAACCAGATATTTCTTTTGGGAGGTGCACAAACATCTAAAAACAACTTGGACTTTTGTTTCCCAGGCATCAAGTATCCCATGGACACTTGACACCTGGGAAACAAGTGGCCATGACCTCTTAATAACAAATGATAAGACTCAGAGGAACAATAGGTGGTGTGAAGTCGTTTCACCTTTTTATAAAACCCCTATATTTTCAATAAGATGGCAAAAAAAAAAAACCTGATTGTGTTCTTGTGACGTCATGCGGTCAAACCCATGATCACTTCCTATACTTAAACACACTTAGGCTCTACATCTTCCTGCTTATTACACAACAAAAAGAAAAAAAATACAAAAGAAACAAAGTAGTACTTAAGAGCAGCAGGAGCTCTTTCTGTTCTTATAACTAAATCTTCTTCCTTGACTGAAACTTCTTGAACTGAAAGGCGCCCACGCAGCATCACCTGATCTACTCCTCGAGCTTCTTTTGTTAGTTCATCCTGATGCTGTGTGAATCTCGTTAAGAGAGAAACGTATCCTAAAATCATACAAATGCCTGTCTCAGGATGCACAACCCAGCTGAACATTTGCCTGTTTAGCAAAAGGATCAGAACAGAACACTGCTACTACTTATTAAAGTAGCTTAGTGAGGTCTGAGAAGACCATTAAACTGGTCTACCTAGACAAAGTATAATTAGAAACAAGGGCTCCCAGGTTCCCAGTCACTTGCCCTCTCATTTATTCCTCTCAAGGTGGCCCACTTGTGGGGCATCATCCTGTCACATAGGAAACTCGACTTATGGTGATCATCCATTGACAAACTGTCTTTTAAATGCAAGTTGCCCTGTTGCTTGAGTCAGATTCAAGTTTGGGCCCATCTACTATAATGGGCCTCTTCTTGTCCCTCCGCTCTAACGTGTGAGGTCCCAGCCTTTTAGTTTACTGTAGGTTCTGCTGAGTCACAGTCCAGACTCAAACCTCTGTCTCTAAAGCTGTGTGATGGCCTCTTGTATTTGCATGATAATAAAATACCCAACCAGTTGTGTGTACTGTACTATCGCGGCATCACAGTATCTGGACAGAGTACAAAATAAACAGTCTTGAGTAAATCGCTGCACAAACTCTGTAGAAATTTTTTTTTGGCCTTTCGGAGTTCCATCTGCAGGATTTTATTCACTCTCTTCCCCTCCTCTCATGACTGGACTCTCAACTAGTTATTGCTCTAATTTATGAAAACAGCACTTGAACCTAGAGTTACTAAAAAAATGTCAACAGCAAGTGGTCATTGATACAAACAGTTTTAAACACAGGACTGGGTTGACAGCCAAGCAATAGGTTCACTGAGACTCTTTACAGCACAAGAGTTCAAATATGACTTTCACTGTATTTAGTGACTAAATACATATATAATGTATATAAATTCAAAAATATATATTTTTTCTTTCGGCTTCTCCCTTCTTCAGGGGTCTCCACAGTAAATTAACTCGCACAAAGACTTGGCAATAGCTTTTACGCTGAATGTTCTTCCAGACGCAACCACATACCACTGAGCTACCACAGCCTTCTGTATGGAGCAGAGAGCTGCTATCTAGGGCACCCGGGGAAGCAGATGGTGGGGGTTAAGGGCCTTGCTCAAGGGCCCAGAGTGGGGCAAATGAGGATGGAGGCAGGTGCAGGTGTTTCACCTATCTCACCAACAATTTGATGTCAGTTTGGGGAGTTGAACTGGCGACCTTTCGATCACAGGCCTACCTTCTCTAACCACTGCACCACCATTCCCCCACTATATATACACATA